AAAACTGCGGGGAACTCTGCAAAAAACGCATCTTCGCACGGGCATCCCGTGCGTTGGCCAATTATTTTTTTTTTTTTCGTCAAAAAAAGCAGGAAAATTTTTTGTATAAAAAACTTTTTTTCATTTTATGTAAAAGAAAATTATGTAACAAATTCTTCCCATTTATTTCTTTTCCATGTGAAAATTAAGGTCATTTGCTTTATCTTAGCGTTCCTGCATATTTACGCTATACAAAATACCAAATCAGTAATCTCTAAATTCTTTTATTTGTTATATAATAATTTACACTACTGTCGTTGTACTGACCAGGTCCAGTTGTGGTGTTGAGCTAAGACGTATACAGCAGCCTAATAATGGACCAAAACGGCAGAAAAAAAAAATCTCAACTAATTTATTAATTTCAGCATAGACACTACAGATTCGATTCATTCACACGTTCAATTAATTTCACTTTATCTTTTGTTTTGCTCGTGGAATAGTGTCAGTTAAGTTGTATTAGACAAATTACTTTTTATCTAATATCGGGTAAATTTTTGCCCTTATTCGCTCCTAACTGTTTTTTTTTCCTTCTGTTCTACTGCCTCCTCAAAAATAACTCTTTAAGCAAATGCAAAAACGTATGCTAACGAAACACTGTCTTGTCCGTGTGTATGTGCGTGCGTGCGTGTGTGTGCATGTGTGTTTGTGTATGTGTGTGTACATGTGTTTGTGTATGTACATGTATGTTTGTATGTGTCCGTGCGGTTTTTTCTATTCCGCAATCCAGGCAAGTGTGATAGCTGCAATTCTGTAAGCGTAATGCATACGATCCCAGTAACGTAAAATCAACGTTCACTGTTGTCCTGCTTCTTGCAAACAGGCTTATGAAGTTTATGCCGCACCGTAACGAATATCTGGGGTCGCGATTTTTAGCCTCAGATCTTATAACCCGTTACCCCATTGTAAATGTTTTTGGAATTTTTTGAAAAATTTAAGCTATGAGGGTTTTTTTGGCACTGTAGGCCAGCCGATGAAAGGAACACAGTCGAATATTGTCAATTCTAGGAAACCAGTGAGTGCTAATTCAGATACCCAGATAAGCGAGCCTGTATGTGCAAGCAGTGAACGCTGATTATAACTCACTCGTCTTTTTTATTTCGCGCGCGATTTTCAACATTTTTTCGTGAAAAATACAGCTTTAGTTTGCCAAGAAACAAGAATCTCCCAGGTAAACCGTGCAGAACAATGCATGCGCCACGTCGTCTTTTGACGCCCAGCATTGATTATTTCAATTTTCGCAAAATGGCAATCGATTTGCTTTTTTTTAGTTTACTGGCAATTTCTTACGAGGCACGAGCATTTGGCGTGAAACGTGGCATGTTCGGTGAACAAGCGAAAGCAATCTGCCCCGATTTAACTCTGTGTTATGTGCCATGCGGTGAGCATGTCGATAAAGCAGATATCACTCGTTACAGGTGTGTTTGGAAAAAACTTCCTAGCTGTTGAAGCAGACAGTGATGAGGTCTAGATTTCCAGGATTTTTAAGCCTTCTTGGAGATATGGAGCTAGGAGGAGGGGAAGCTTTTCGTTGAAGTTTAAGTTTTGGTTGATTTTAAGTTTTGGTTTTGGTTGATTTTCCGAAATAGTACGAGGACTTTTTTGATCAAGAAGCAGCTGGGTAATTGTCTGACCAGGAATAACAAAACGACCTGAACAGTCGTTGTGGAGAAGCCATTTTAGTGATTTTTGCAGTAACTGTAGCATATTCGAGATCACACACTTGTAGCTAACTGTAGTACATTTAAAGTCGTACATCGAAACTACCTCGATATTCATTCTTTCTGTGAGGTGGAAGTATTCGGAAGAAACTCGCATGTCAATAGCAGCCACTTTTCGCCCCCAATGGCTTCTTTTTTTTTTTTT